AAAACTTCACTAGCGGGTGAGACAGATTAAATGTTTCAATCACTTAATACGTTGTATTAAAAAACAAAATATACCACAAGATGCAGCGTGAAAAGCTTCTACGATGTACAAAGTAAAGCTTATTTTAATTGTATACTTCTTGTTTTCAAAAAAACCAATATTCTGTGCGACCGATCTTCCCTGGCCCAGAAAAATCATTTTTTTCTTATTTCATATATAAAATAAGCTGTTTAGCGTAACTGTTTAGACATCGATAATACGTAGTATAGCATGTGAAATGGAATGAATGACTAGCGTAGACTATACCAGAATGAATCGGTTAGATGTTTCGTTCGCAATAGTGTGGCTGACTTTACCATAGAAATGTGTCGTATTCAGTGTAGTTCATGTTCTTAATTTGTCGAAATCTATCGATTAATAATTCATTTACGATTTCTTTGCTTGTACATTTTGATATAACTGACTTAGTTGACCACATTGACTTTTGCATGTTTTCAAAGTCTTATATTCTAGTTGGTTTCTTGATTAGTCATCGTTTGAGAATACATCGAAAAACTGATTAATGTAGAATAGTTGGCAGGCAGAAATGAGTCTGAAAGAGATAAAAACTACAGGGGTTGGTAAGTTCTTAAGATCATATCCTCTACGACTCGACAAGTATGATTTATTAGTATCAATTAAACTGGTGATATAGTCATGATATACTGATAGAGAAAAAATGGCCGACATGATGAAGAATAGTCTGGACGCGTATATTCAAAAATTTATCGTAGATTTGCGGGAAGTCGTGTGTTGTACATAGCATCGCAAAACATGATATATGCGACATACAATCCCAGAAGAGATAAGACTCAACGCCACTGACGTGATGCCGCAAAATATACAAAAAGATGTGTGTATTAATAGAAAAAAGCCTGATCAAGATGACTTTGCAGAAGACCTTCAAGAAACCAAACAAATAATGGTCCTAATATACAAATTTTTACATGTAAATTATTGTCTGTTTCAATTTAAGCTGAAGCTCAATCTGGAAAACAAACTTCAATTGTGTCACTATTATTCTATTCAGCCTGAAATAGTTATAAAATGCATGCATCTTTATCTTTAAATGGAGATGGTAATGCACAAGGTACGCATATGTCTATGTATAGTGCTGTCTTGAAAGGAGCATATGATACTATTCTTTCATGGTCATTTAATATTCCGATGATATTTTGTCTCATTGATCATACTGATCAAAATCATAATATCATTGATAAATTTTATTCTAATCCAATATTAAGTAGTTTTCAAAGACCAAAAGTGCGAGATGATGAAATATTTATTAAAATTAGGATAACTTTAACCAGGTATATTGAAATTGACTTGATGCAGTAAAGAAACGAATTGACCAAGAAGTATTACAATGTGATCTGATTCTGATATACCATGTGAAGATACATTAGATGAATGACTATAATATTAAAAAAAAAAGTAAAATAGAATTTCATTCCATCAATTGTTTTCATATCGTTTTTATATGATTTTATCGTAGCTATTGGCATTTTATGCAAATAAATTTTATTCATCAGATTTAATGCCAAATAAACATTATTATCTGAATTCTATGTATTGTTTTTCTATTATTCATTGTCTAAAAATTTTTTGTTATAGTAATTCAGAAACAGATATGATCCAACTTTTCTATGGTTTTATTTCGTTTATTATACTTCGAGTTTTTTTATTTTGCCAATATTAATAATTTTAGTTCATCTCTTTTTTTCATTCTTTAATATTGTTAATACTGAATACATGAAGCTTTGATCGAAACAGAAAGAGAAAAAAAAAGTTTTTTCTCTCACTTGGAATCTTCCAACTTTAGTTGGTTTTTTCCAACATTTATTTTTTGTTCTGTATATAACTATCTTCTTATTTCTCTTGTCATTTTTATTAATGTTAGAATAAAAAACAAAGTTTATTTTAGTCAAGTTTTTAAATTCAAGGTTATTAGCTATTACGAAAACAAGAATATTTTTTTCAGTTATTTTATTTCTTTGAAGAAAGCTTGGAAAATTCCAACTTCACTGACTTTTTTTTCTATCTAAAATTTGTTTTTTTCTCAGTAAATAACGCTTACTCTATACTAGTGTCTTACAACTCGATTGGACATCCGAATTCGAGCCGGCGATGAATGATGTTTCAAAAAATGTTTACTTTTTCAACATGCTAATTTATATAAAACCATAGGATTGAAAACGGGTTCGTACTAAAAGCATTCACTTTATCACAGAAGCGAACACATGCACTGGAAAAACAGAAAAATCAGACATTTTCATGAGAAGAATCTCTCATCATTCGAACTCATGGTTTAATTCTATAATATTGATAGGCAATGTAGTATAGAGTAAGCACTGCCTATTGGAAAAAAAAGAAAAATATGATCTCAAGAACAAAAGACGAATATTTGGATTAGTATAAATTCTAGATTACTATTACTAATACAAGAATATTTCGCAATTAGTTTATAACCTTGAAGCAAGCTTGGAAAATTCCAACCTAATTGTTTTTCTTTGTATAAGTATATTCGCATTTCTCTTCTCATTTTTGTTTTCATGGTACGTATATAAAGACATGTTTTTTTTTGTAATCAGAATAAGTAACACATATATACATGTCTACGACATAGAAAGTTGTAGAAATCGAATGGTATGATTCTTTTAGAACCAAAGATATACCTTTGCTTTATGAGCTTGAAGAAAACTTGGAAATTTCCAACTTCCGAATATTACTCACGTTCTTTTTCTCCTCAACATAAATTATATATATTATTTGTGTCTATAAGCAGCAAGCGTCAGTTTTTTTTTGCTATTCTTTTGAAAATATGTAAGTGATCACATGACTTTAAAAATAAAAGTTTATGAATATGTTCTCATATCTTTTTTTCACTTGATATTTCAAGACTATTGAAGTCATGAATATATTTTTGTTCTTGTTAATTCAAATTTTGAAAAATTAATAAGAATAATGATGTTTTTTTTTCCCCAAATTTCAATTCTGTTATAAAGTATATCTATGATGCATGCGTATTTGTTTTCAGATTTTTTTTCATTCTATATTGTTTATAATTTTTAATCAATTAAAAAAAATCTCTACTTTTCGCATGTCATCCGACATAGATGAATTACCGAGTAGTCGTTATCGTACAGATATTTTATCAGAAGAATCATCACCAGGAAATGAAATGCTTATTAACAAAGATGAAGTACATTTCGTTGATCAGCTAACTGATCAATTTAACCCATCTCAACGGGTTTATGGAAATGGTATGAGTTTATATTCATGTAGTAATATATAGTTTTATAAGATTTCTGTCATACTATAATAAGTACATGGATCCCGTTTATTTTTAGTTCGTTCTAACGCTCCAATCGTTATTTGCTTTGGTTCACAGGATTCATCTTTAAGAATCGCATTAATTAAATATTTAATCGTTGAGGATTTAACTTTGATACTTTTTTCGGTAGAAGAATATTTGTGGCAATGGTTGGATTTAAATTCTTCGTTAACAGTTGCTTCTCTTATTCTTGAACCAATCATTCATATTCAAGAACTTATCGCTCGAAGTCATACTTATGGTGGTATTAATTCGATTCTTGTACGTTGTAGAACAACTGATTTAACAACAATACAAAGATTTTCAAGGTTTTATCCAAAAGTCGATGGCATTTTTGATGATGACACTCGCCTTTTGATAAGATTAGTTATCGATCTTACACTTTTTTCTGAAGAACAAGGAGATCAACAAAGAGAAAACAACAACAATGAGATAGAAGCTCAAAAGAACTATACACGAGCACTAAAATTGTGCGCGTTAGTCAGAAAGATTTGAAATGTATATAAAGTATGAACACATAATTTTATATATATTTTGAACAAGTTTTGAGAGATGTTTGATAATTAATTTGTCCCTTTTGAAAATAATTTTCAATTCCAAAGTTTCTTAACTTCACCTTATTAAAGAAACGATTTTTCACTTCAAGATTTATAATCAAACATCTCTCAAATCATATTTTTAGAAGTAGTTTGATTAGACATAAGTATGTAATCCTTGATTCAATTTTTTTCCCTAGTTTTTATATATTGAGAACGATATTAAGTTAAATTAATCTAAAGTTCGTTTTGAAGGAAATTAAGTTCAAGCAAGAAAAGAAAAACAGTTTTTATATCGATAATTCATGACATATGACTTCTTCAACTTTATTAAGAGAGAAATGTAAATTTATGTAGATTGGAAATGTAATATTCTTCATTAAGCTCTTCTTTCGGAGCATTCCATTTTTTATATCCTACATTATTTTCGAAATAAGGTCAATCGATTGAGTAAGAACATTTTAGTAGTTAAATAAACCAGATAATCTCTTGTTGGTCAGTCAATGAAATTCAGTGAACATTGTAAGTTACAGTATATGAAAGTTGTTAGTACAATCTGTGGGAATAATGAGTTTAAATGTCGAAACACAAGAAACTCTCACAGTATACCCGATACTCGACATCGGTAGAATATACTAATTCGAGTTTTGCCAGCACTCAGAACTTCAAAATAAAAGTTTTTTTTAAATTACACATGGTGATAGAGCCACTAATTCTCTAGAAAATGAGATTTTTCGGAAGCCTCCACAACACTTTTTGACTGAACGACGTCAAATTTAAGAAAAGCACAACATTTGTTGTGAGGTTCTGATTGCTGTAAAACTAGATCTTGAATTGTAAGTTATTCAACTGAAATTAAAACTCTCGCAAGTTCAATCTTCCTAATTGAACTTTTTTGTTAACCTCACTATTTCTGAACTTGAAAAGTTTAAAAATATTTTGAAAAAACTTAATTTACAGTATTTTTGTAACTGAAAACAATAAATATTGTGTAGTTCTTTTGAGAAGCATTAGTCATAAAATACATACAGAAACCACTTATTTATAAATTCTCATACATTGTTCTGTTTTTTTTTTCAAATAGAAGAGTACAGAGATTAATAAGGTGACAAGAAAATAAAATATTTTTTTTTTTATTAACAATGTATCATCATTTTTACACGAGCATATTCACCCTGTTTTTATTTTCTTTAAAACTTTTTGTTAATATCATATCTATAAATAACTATATTGTAATGTAACTTTTTTGTCACTATATAATGATAAATTATTTTGATTTTAGATTAGTGGTAAAGTTTTATTAGGCTACGGTTTTGACATTTTTCTTCGATATTTGTTAGATCGACTCACATGGCTACTGCCTTGATTAGAAGTACTGATGTAACCAAGGTTGTTGTGCTTTGGTCTAAAGTCATTCCAGAGCATATCAGGTTTTCATCTATTATATTTGTCAAAAATTTAGTTACAATGATTGATTATGTATACAAGAATATCAGTCAAGTAGATAAATTTCTGTTGATCGCACCTGGTGATATTCTCAAAATATTGCTTGATTATCCAATTTATCTCTTTCCACAAGTCATATATGTCTATGCATACTATGATAATGCTAATAATCTCGAACGAGATAAAAATTTTTATCAAAAAGAATATCCAAAAATTAAGTTTGTTCATGAAAGAAATGCAGAAACACAAATATTTGAAAAATTAATGGTTAATCATGCTATTAGTTCATTGAGATTGATTGAACGTGAAACATTAAATAGTGTTGTATCATCGATGGAACAACGTATTAGTACTAAACGATCAAATGCTGCTAGTTGCCATTCAAAAAAACCAAAAATACTTTCTGTCGCGACAGATTGTATATGTCCATATTGTAAATTAATATTTCGGGAGCCTTATCAACTCAATTGTGGACATCGTTGTTGTGAATCATGTATTAATTTTACAGATAAGTAAGTGTATTTTATTTTTTGATTATTATTAAATTTGATTTTCATTTAATCCTATATTTCTTAGCAAAATGATCTGTTTAACATGTTCTGAAGTCTCAACTAATGAAAATGTATGTTGAATAATATTATGTTGCATTTTTATTTCAATTTTCATTATTTTAGATTCGCTCTGATCGCGGTTTTTCTATAGACATGCAACAGCAATCAATATCTTGTTCGATATGTACTTGGGTTGGATCTTTAGTACTTTATCAAGTATAAAATATGAATAATGTTTTAAACAATAAATTCTACGATTTTTTTTTCTTCTTCTTAGAAACATATTCATCAACAGCATCACAATAGTAAATCTGAGACTATCGTGGTCGATGTATATACTCAGCAGGTATATAGTTACGAGAGAATTCTTCCAGCTGATAAATCGCTTTTGAGCCAAGACTATGTGTAATATATATAGAATTCGGGGATTCCGTTTTTTGGAATCGTTGAACTCTAATTAAACAGTATTTTTCAAAATGAATGTCGTAGTTTCTTTCAGAAATATCAAGCAAACTCATTTTCGAATTTCACTTAAAAACTTTGTACAGAAAGAGGCCTCAATGAGAATAGTTTATTGTGAACATTTCAATTTTTTTCTTTGTGTCTAGCTGAAAATACAGTGGTCGCAAAAAAGCTCCGCTACAAATTAAAAACTACCTCAAGTCTAAGCCTTTAGTTTCATAATTTGACTACAAATAGAGTATGTTGAACTCTAATTGCAATGACTGATCTCAATATAGAAAAAAGATCTCATGGCGTTAGTCTATAAACTATTCTTTAGGTAATTTTTGTATGAGAGTTGATGGCTCTAATCAAATTTTTTCTCAAAATTTCACGATTATAGCCATCCATGGAGAAGAGATACATATTGAGACCTGCCCCGAAAATGAAAAAACCAGACCAAAAGCCAACGTTTTTTGAGTCCTAGGGAAAACAACAGTGTTCTCATCATAAATTTGGGGCAATAAGATCTATCGATCTCGAATTGCTGTTTGTGATCAGACTTCGCCGAACTTTAAAAGAATTGAAATTTATATACTTTTTATCTGGTAGTAAGACCTATTGCGAATACTAATGAGCGATGAAAAAGACAACCCTATTACCATAGCTGTATCTTAGGATAGGAACAGTGGCAAGATTCTTCACAGGGTAATTATAGTTCATTTAGATCAACATAATACACATAGTCTCAATTTAAAAGTGATTTAACAATTGAAAGAGTTTCTTTATTAAATCTTAAATTTATATGATAAATGTATAACCATTGTTTTAGTATGATCATAGCAATCTTGGTCAAACTGTAAATAAGAGTGGAATACAACAAGAAATTCTGTTGAATATTTTTTCACCTTCATGTACTATATTTCTACCACATTATAGTAGCACAATTAATGATCAACATTGTAACAATATTAATTTCGATATTATAGCTCAAGAACTTAAATCAATACAACAAACTTTAGATAGTACATTATCTACTTCTTATTGTGGCGCATATACATGGAAAATAAATAATATCCGACAGAAAATAGGTATTTATTAATATTGCTTTTAAAATCTCCTTCACTTGCCTTTTTTTCTGGTCTATACTTTTCATTATATAGAGTAGGCTAACTTGATCGATTTTTTATGTGTAATAAGAATGCAATATAAATAATATATGTTGTTATTGTTACCGAAGAATTTACTCTATCTTTAGACTTTCTTTTGCATACATTGATCAACTGATTAAAAATAATGAAACTAGCCATGAAATGAGTAAGAGAAATTATTATCACAGCTTGTAATAGAACTGCAACATAAAATTTACATATTCTCTCTTGATTTATTATAATGACATGTCTTATAATTTGAAATGCTTGTGACATATGGCAGCTTTTTTTTAATGATCTATATTTATTGGAAAATAACTCCAACATATGTATTTCTAAATCTTAAATAGATATATGTCGTCCTTCATGTTTAATTGATATTATGTCTTTCTTTTGGTAGTATGGACTCACTATGATTTGATATTTTCTATCTCCTTATTTTTAATTTATAGTTTATTGGGGTTAACTGTTGCATATATTCATTTATAAACTAAGCATACTTCGCTGCATGCTATTCTTTATTTTGATGAATTTTAACGATATTTGTCTATTAATTTATCGTTTAATGGTATATTTTCTTGAGAAATATCATTGTACGTTCGAATATAGCACATTGATATATTACTAATCACCACTATTAACATGTATAAATCATTTATATACACCAGAATCTACAGTGTGAATTTTTTTTTAATGTTAAAAACATATTGTCTAATGGGCTTCAAAAAAAACTGAAACCGAAAATCGAACCGCAATCGAGGTTCCGGTTAAGGAATAAGTTTTCGAATGCTTGAACTTGACTACTAAGCCAATTTATCGCTTTTACATAAGTATGTAGAAAGATTTCTTTCGCTTAATGAGATGTTTTGTATTTATAAATTGATTCATATTACTTGTTCTTTTTTTAATAGTTGATGCACAAACCGGGCGACAAAAATCGATTTATTCATCGGTATTTTATTCATCACAATCAGGCTATAAAATGTGTTTAAGATTATATTTAAATGGTGATGGTGATGTTCGTGATACACATATGTCTTTATTCTTAGTTATAATGCGAGGTAAATATGATGCTATTCTTTACTGGCCATTTTCTTATCAAGTATCATTTTGTTTAATGGACCAATCACCATTAAATAATAATCGACGTCATATAACAGCTTTGTTTGAGCCTGATATACGATCAGATTGTTTTCAACAACCTGTTTATAGTATGAATCATGGTTATGGTATTAAAGATTTTATGTCTCTCATGGAATTCGAACAAAATAAAAGCCTTTATGTAATAGATGATATAATGTTTATTGAAGCTAAAATTAATTTTTTTAGCGAGAGACCTGGTAAAATATTTTATGTGAAAAAAAAAATGTTTTAATTGTTTTTTACTTAGCTATGTCATCGATCTCGCATACAGTTGGATCACCTAATGATGAAGAATATGTGGATACAATTGGTGAAGATTTTACAAATATAAATTAACATTTTAATGCAACATCATTATATCAAAAGAGGGGAGGTGGGGAGGGAAAGCGTGACTTCTACACTGAAGTCGCGTTATATATAATATGTCAGAAAAATTATTCTCAATGGCGAACAACATTCGAAGTATTCTCTTTTTTTTAATCTGTTAGCTTCATTGTTTTCGAATTTGTGAAACTAGTTTGTCAGTTTGGATAGTATTTAATCGACGACAGAGTAATGTTAGCAATATTCATATAGAGTTAGTAGAAGATTCTGTCCATAGATGCATGTCTTCTCTGATTTCCTTGTTTATTTTATTAAAAACGAACCCAAAAGAATTATGTAGACTACTTTCAAAAACTATATAGTATAAAATATTTTCTTCTGTTATTTGTCATTTGCTTTAGTATCACTGACATCTTCAAAACTTCTTTGAATTATTGTCATGACAAAAAATTACACATATATGTAAATATAAACAAAAGATCATTAATAAGTGGTTGGAAAGGACTGGTAATGATTAAAACACTGCGTAAATATTATTGTAGTCATATACAGGGTTGTGCATAACCTTTTGCTAGGGGGGTAGCGTCATTATTTCAAGTTGAATACCTAATGAATTTTATACCAAATTAAAGAGCGTCGAAAACTGGATTTATTAGTACTAAATAGTAAGAGTTATCAAAATATGTTAATGTGGAACTTACGAAATTTTCGGAAATTTTTTGCTTTTTTTACCAGAGAAAATTAAGGAACCAGCAAATTTTGTAGGTAAGAAAAACATTCGATTTTTTCATTATTTTTACAAATAAAGACGCTTTGAAATACACTCATCAGACGCAGTTTTTCACGCTGCATCGGATGAGTATATTTCGAAGTGTCTTTATTAATAAAAATAATGAAAAAAGCTAATTTCATTGAAAAAAATCAAGTGTTTTTCTTGCATATAAAAAAACAAGTTTTTAGAGATTTTTTAGGATTTTACAAGTCATTTTTTAAATTTTTTATCTCAGAAAAATGGCTTAAAAAAATTCTGATATATACAGTTTTGTAGAGCTTGACGAGCTCTATCGAAGCATGTAAAAATATCAAAAGAAAATATCTTACTATATATTTGAATTGCTGGCGCCTTAATTTTCTATGGTAAAAAAAGCATAAAATTCCGAAAATTTCGTAAGTTCCACATTAACATATTTTGATAACTCTTACTATTTAGTACTAATAAATCCAGTTTTCGACGCTCTTTAATTTGGTATAAAATTCATTAGGTATTCAACTTGAAATAATGACGCTACCCCCCTAGCAAAAGGTTATGCACAACCCTGTATTAGGTTTTTATAGATATATAAATGTGTAACTTTTCTTCATAGATATGCATTGAGTGCGAATCTGGACATTAGAATTCGAATTTGAATGCAATTATTTTCATTGAGCTAATAAAAAAATAGAAGTAAACCAAACAAAGGAATTTCATGATCGACTATGGTACATCTACATACAGTAAACTAAAAAATATTAGTGTAATCCCTACAGTATTAAAATTTGAAGCATAATATAGCTACTCTTGGTAATCACAGGGAGGCTCTTCTATCCTATCTATTTTGCGACACATTTCTAAAATATCCTTTTACTTACTTCTCCAGAAATCGGATCAGAAAATAATTCATATATTATAAGAAGACGTTATTGAGACACGGTCTTGGGTCGTATATCAACAACGTCTGTCACGGTCTGTGAGGAAATGGGTGTACATTTCTATCTCATATAATTCTACGCTCCTTTTAGATCGTATTTCACAAAATGGTCCAAAAAAGTGAAGGATTATGAACATTCTGAAAAAAGAAAATCAACAATGTTCACAAATATTCAAATATGATTATACTTCCGTAATTGTTCATGTATTTCAAAAAATGCTTACACAATTACTTAAATATTCAACACTATCTCGACTAGTTAGATAGTATCCGAATATACCGATAATAGTATTACTTTCGACACGGGAGAAAAAGCGATAATTCTGTACTTTGCTAATACTCACATCTTGAAGTACGATAATGTATTTTGACTTTATTGCCAGACAGACTTATATAAAATGAACTCAAACTAATATGCTAGTGACACACGTTGATAGTAGACTTGAAATAGCTAAGATTTTCTAGAGGATATTTTTGACATACCCTTGAAGTACAAAATTCTTGCTTTTTTCCCGCTCGATTCTTGAGGACATATCATTCCCCCTGCCCACACAGATAAAGAACACCTTATCATAATATATGAATTACATTCTGATTCCAGTTTCGGAGAAATAAGTACGTAAAAGAATGGTTCTTAAATGTGTCGCAAAATAGGTAGATTAAGGGTACCCCCCCCCTCTCTTTTTGGACGGTTTCTGGTTCTCCAAGACCGTACAACCGATCACTCTGAAATTTTTACCACAGACAGCACGAGAAATAATGAGACACGTGTTCGACGAAAAAAATTTGAACCATATGTTTTTAGGGTTTTCTGAGAAACCTCGATTTTCCATAGGGCTGCATTGTAGTCCATTACGACCCCCCTGAAATTTTATCCGATTGAGCTGAAGTTTTCATCATTGATGCTTGGAAGTATTCTCCAGAGGTGTAATGGAGCGTTTTCGTTTCTGACTTTCCAAACCGGAATTATAGGTTCCGAAGTCCAGAATCCCGATCTTGCCGCGGGATCATGGAGTGTTTCTCTTATAAAAAAAAGGAAAGTGAGATTTTTTGAAAATCTTAATTATACCGCTGAGAAAGTCTTAGATATCTTAGAAAAAAATTTCAGCTCAATCGGATCAAATTTCAGGGGGGTCGTAATGGACTACAATGCAGCCGTATGGAAAACCGAGGCTTTTCAGAAAACTCTAAAAAAATGCGGTTCAAATGTTTTTCCTCGAACACATGTCTCATTATTTTTTGTACTCTGTCTGTGGTAAAAATTTCAGCGTGATCGGTCGTACCGTCTTCGAGAATCAGAAACGGCCCAAAAAGAGGGGGGGTACCCTTAAAACAAGCCCTGATGAGTGACAAGAGCAGCTACTACGTGTTTCACATTTTAATCCCACAGGGTTTGCACTACCAGCGTTCCTAAGCAATAATCAGTTAGCATAGTTGAAGACTGGAAATATACTAGAGATGGAATCAGTTCGGTTCTAAAAAAAACTGACTAATGAAAACAAGTAACATACTTCGTAGAATGTTGAAAAACATTTTTTTCCATAGAGATTCAGCAATAATTTCAAATAGCATATGCAAAAAGCTTGATAAAAAATTAAAAACTTGTTGAAATGACACTAAATAATGACATGGAATGTTTCGCTATATTATTTTTTTGGGAATTTTACCTTTGAGTATGGTCTTCTTTTTTTGATTTACAGCTATTATACACCTTTCTTAATCAGGATTTTATAGTCTTTTGATAAATTTCTAAAAAAATTGATAAAATTAAAAAAACCTGATAAAAAAAATCTGTTTTAAACTCGAATCTGGAATCTGTAGTCATGACTAATGGTTAAATTTGTTTTACCATTGAATGTGATTTTATTTTTCTGATAAAAATAAAAAACTTCGGGAAAATTTCTTCTAACCAATGAGTTTCTATGTTTTATGAGCAAAAAAATAGGATATTATGCATAATAGGATATCTTAGTTTTCCATTTTCATTTACAGTCATGTCTTACCGGTTCCTTTAACTTTTCACGCAAAAATATTCATGAGTGCATAATTATTTTTCGATTAATTTACTTAACAACTGACAAATTATTTTTGTAATCACGATTGTATGAATATTTACTTGTAAATCTTGAAGTTCTTTTATTTTTGACTTCTTTCATACTTTTTTGTGTCATAACCATATGTTGCTAACTATGCAAGACACTCATTAGTGTTTTTTTGCTGTAACACTGAAGAGATTTTATTATTAATAAACTGGACAAAAGTCGTTAACTATGGATTATTCAAAGATACTACATTCTTCAATCATTTGATAACAAAAGAAAGCGATTTTCGAAAGAGCTAAACCTATTTTTTCTCTAGTTATTGATATTCACGATTGTACTATAAATGTATGATTCATACACAGATGGCTACGTCGTATAAATTTTTCTACACTAAATGAGTTTGTTTGATTGGTTTTGAAAATGATCTTTTGTTAAACAAGGCAACTTGAATTTCATTTAGACACAATTTCTTGTCGAGTTGTCAAAAGACTTTGATTGGAAAAAATGGGGTTTGGACAAAAACGAACAATATATTTGAAATCAGTATAAAAAGCTGAGAAGTTTTTCGATGAAACTTTTTTTCTTAAAAAAATTGAGCTGAAGTTCTCCTCAGGATCCAGTCGAAAAGATGAATTTACTTAGAAAATCATTTGATCAATGAAGAACAAGTTCTGAGTCTGTATAACGTCACTACGAGAGAAATAAACTTTTTTCAAGAAAAAAAAAGTTCGTCGAACAAATTTCGAAACACATATAGGTCTACTCAGCTTTTTATGATGATTCTAAACGAAAAATTTAAGTTGTCTTATTCGACAAAAAGTTACTTCTAAAAATCTCTAAAAGTATCTGGTTTTATAACTCTTCTTATGAGTTTTCAGAACCAACCAAAAATCCATATTGCTTTTTTTTTGTCTTTTTTTGGAACAATACTTACGTCATTACTCCGCAACACTTCAATCATTCGAGCTGAAATTTTTACCAGAGAAAGACTATAAGATGGATAGTCGATTGATATAGTTTTCAGCTGGAAATGTCTTAGTATGGGAAAATTTATAAAAGGCACCCTTCTCAGTATATCAATCATGCACTTATAGTTCAAATGGGAATATCAATAGTTTCAAGGGAAAATGGATCTGACTCTTTCACAAGTCACTTTATTATGTTACCAAACGATTTCTCGTAAAATTTTGCATAAAGTAAATCATGAATGAAAGGAAAACGAGGATGATTCTTACGCGTTCTTATCCATTATTATTTTGGTAGATAACTTTCCTGATACCCT